CAGGATGCGTAGTGCACGTGGGCTTGGTGGGCCTGGTGCACCTGTCACATAGGCAAGCAAGCCACACAGTGCTGGACCAGTCACAAGTGCACCACTTGGGTCAGGAGCCTGGGAGAAGCGTGACAACAGCAGTAGTGCCGGCCCCTCACGTCCCCAAGGCTCCTCTGCAGCAGAAGCAGCAGGGCTACGACCCTGCATGCGTAGTGTACGCGGTGTCTGCAGCGAGGTCTGGCCAGGGGTGGGACTGACTGGTTCTGCTGGCTCTGGCAATGGACAACGCTCAGGAGACCAGTCTGGAGAAATGTCTCCGGGGCCTGCAGCATAGCCCTCAGAGATCAGCCATGACCTGCAGAGGGCAAAAAGAAAAGAAGACTGAACCCAGAGCCAAGGCATGGAAATAGAGTCAAAAGAACTGTGAAAAGAAGGTGAAGCCAGTAGGGGAAGAAGAGGGTATATTAAAGGAAGATGAGGACAAACAGAAGTGGGAGGGGGGATAAATCCTCATTCAGTAATTACTGATATTAATCATGTGCCTAGTCCTTTTTAAGTGCTGGGGAGAAGCACTGAATAAAACAAAGTTCCTGCCCTCCTGAAGTTTATGTTCTACTGAAGGGAAACAGACAACCTAAGTAAGTAAACCGTATGGTAGATTAGTGTCATGTTAGTGTGGTGTGAAGTAATAATAGTGAAAAGAAAAGGGTATTAAAAGATCCAAGACAGGCAAAAGTTGAAATTTAAAATAGAGTGGTGATGGATCCCCCACGAATGTGGCAAGAATTGAACAAAGACTTGAAGGTGGTGAGAGATGAAGGCATGCAAGAGGAAAAGTATTCTAAGCAGAAAGAACAGCAACCAGAGAGGTCCTCAGATAACACCTTCCTGTCATGTTCAAAAATAAGGAGGAGACCAGTTCTAAGAGTGCAACAGGCACCACGGACAATGATCAGAGATGAATCACAGAATTCACAAGGCTGACATTTACTGAACATTGCTTAGTGCCATTAATCTTTACAATAACCCTGTAAGGTATGTTGTTATCCTCCATTGTATGCACAAAGAATCAGAGACCCAGAGAAGTTAATTAGCCTTCCCCTGATGTCTCAGTTTGTAAGTGATGGTGACAGAATAAGAACTTGTATTCCAGAACATACCACTATAAATAATCAGTGTACGTACTACCTCCCAATGAATTTGTCTGGGGCCCAAAGTTCAAGGTGATGAGATAGAACCAATATTAAAAAGCAGATCCAAGGATAGACGCTGTGTTTAACAGGACTGGAAAGTAGTCGTGTCAGAGAACAAGAAGGAATCAGGAGTTAGAAACAACAACAACAAAATCTTATTGAGACAGAATGGAGGGTGGAGGTGTAAAGAAGGCCAAAGCAGACAAGCCCCCATCCCAAAATATATCACCTACCCTCCCTCCTAGGCCCTGTGGTGAGGACTCACCTGAGGCTTCGGAAGCTTCCAGCCTCAGGCCGCTCAGGGGTCCGTTCCTCAGGGAAGTCCCAAGAAGCCGCTTCTGTTCCCTCTTCTTCCTCATCACCAGCCTCTCCACACAGCTGCCCAGCCAGGAGAGGGACAAGTCCCAGAGCCTGTAGCCGGCCCAGGGCCCCAGTATCATAAAGAAAGCCCACAAGAGCAGCTACAACACGTGGATGCCAGGCACTGGCACGAGGGTCCCGCAGTAGGCCCATGAGCAGCTCTAAACCACCAGCATCCCGAAGCCGGGCACGGTTGATAGCCTCCCGGCACAGAAGGCACACAGCCCGCACCAACGGTTGCTGGGAAGCCGAGCTGGCTCCATTGGTGCTTCGACGCCGCCGGAGCTCACCTAGTAACACCTCCACACCACCAGCATTGCCTAGCGCAGGCCGTACTAGGCCCTGGGCACACAGGTTGGCAAGGATCAGGATGGTTGCTTCACGTACTGCCCGTTTTGGGTGAGAAGTCAGGCTGACAAGTGGGCCCAGTCCCCCACCCAGACTTAGCTGCTCAGCACAGGCCCGGGAACAGCCTCGGCTGAGTTCCAGGAGGGCACGGACTAGGGCTGAGGTTAGCGTAGGGTCTGGGGCAGCAGCCAGGAGCTCAGCCAGTGGGCGTACTGCTCCCTGCTGTGCCAGGGCCAGGCGGTGCTGGGGTGAGTCTGCTAGGTTGCGAAGGGCACGCACCACACTCTGTAGGCACTGAGAGTCCTGGCAAGCTGTCAGGCTCTCAACGAGCAAAGGAACAGCACCTGGAGAGGAAAGGGGAGGACAAAGGGTGAGCAAAGGCATCTACCTAAGCCCTTATCCCACCCTAATTCCCAGTTAACCCCACCTCATAGCCTTCTTACCAGCAGAGTGGATATCCCCACAGCTCTCAGGTTCCATGGCTAAGTTCCCCAGAGCACGGGCTGTTCGGTTCTGGATGCTATCTGTCTTCACACACTGAAGAATGGTCACTGAAAAGAGAGTTTAGCCTTTTATTTCTCTATCAGTCACCTCCAGAATATGGCTTGAGAGAGTCAGGGACAGTCTCTGAAAGAAGCTAACACGTGAGCTGGGTCTAGAGGGTATTTACTAGAAGGATGGTGGATGGGGATATTACAAGGCATTTTGGGTTTGGAAGCAGCCTTTGCAAGAGCCCAGAGGTAACACCGAGGATCTGTGCCATGATCTTATGAAGGGCCTCAAATGCCAGATAAAGAGCTCAGGACACACAGGAGACACACAGGATTTTAAGAAGGGAAGCAATACAATACAATCTGGCAACCATGGAGGGGGATGTATTATAGGAGAAAGGAATAGAGTCTGAGATCGACAAAGTGACCAGGTGAGACTGGACAGTGGTCTGAACCAAATAAGTTACTGCACTGCTGAGAACAAGCAGTCTCTGATCACATGGTAGAAACACAGGAGGAGATGGATTTCAGAGATATTTAAAATGCAAAATAGTGACTGAATGATGGGAGTGATAACAAAATCCATTGCTTACTGAGGGGCTTATTAATCTTCCAGGCTCTTGTCAAACTCATTATAGTCCACATATGTTTTATGAGAGTTTTAAATATATTAATGCTTCCCTTTATCCAAAAAATTGAGCTTACATCAAAACTGGAATAATTTCAGAAGACAGGCATGACGTGTATATTGCATTTGCATGGTGTACTGTATACGGGTATACTGCGTTTGCATGCCACTAGGAGGCACCAATTTATCTGGGAAACAGAAAAGCTTTTGTTGGGTTCTTTTTTATTGTATGAGTTTTTAATTACTCAAAATTCCCTGCCTGTGCATAGAGTCTATGCATTCTATCTTTGCATTAAGTTTTCTCCATACTCCAATTATGCAAGGTGGCTATTATTATTTCATTTTACAAGGAATCCTAGTTTTGGAGGTGTAAGGTGCCTTTATTGGTATAGCTAACTACACCAATTTCTGAACTTCACCTTTTTGCCTGCAGCTCATCCAAGGGGGGGTTTCAGTCCATCGCACAAGCTCAGACTATTAATTTCATAAATGCAAGACAAGAATCATCTGAAGTATCATTAATAACCCTTTAGTCTCCAACTGCCTAGATGCGGGAGAGGTGCCAACACCTACATTATGGTTGTAATTATCTGGTCTGAGCTCGGGTATAACCTACAGAAAAAGTAGTGACGTCATGGGAGAGTAGTGACAGCTTGAGAGATAGGTGGGCGGCGCCGTCATAAAGCACGTTATTCCAGGGTTTGACACAAAGTATTCAAACCAGCCTAGGACTAGACAAGAGGGAAGGGCGGGTGAAATCATTCTAGGAAATGGAGGCGGAGCACTTACCCAAAGGGAGAATGCCTCCGAGTCTGCGCACTTCAGCCCGGCACGCCCCTTCCGTACAGCAGTTGGCTAGGATGCTGAGCGCCAAGTCCAGCGTCTTGCGCAGGCGCACTGGCGGCGAAAGCGTCGACGCAACAGAGTGGGTGGAGTCAGAGGAAGGGGCGGAACCAGAAGCAGCCGACGCAACCGACGAGGGGGCGGAGCCCGGACCTGCCTCGGACGGGGCGGGGTCCGCTGCAGCCGCTCGCCGTAGCAGCGCGAGAAGGGGGCGGAGCCCGCCGCGTGCCCGGAAGCGTTCGATTCCCCCCGCTGCCTTGATGTGGCGCGTGCGGAGAGCTAAGAGCGCGCGGCCCAAGGGTGTCTCGTTGCTAGCTAGGTCCTTTTCCCCACCCTGACCCTCCCCTGCTGCCGCCGTGAGCTGCGCGAGGCAAAACGAGAGCGAGTCCGTAAGGGTTGGTTTCGCAGCCGCCATCTTGGCTCGGGCCTAGGGCTCCGCCCCGCTTCTCGCCGCTTATCTGAGACAGCGGAACTGGAAGAGAGGGGCGTGGCCAGACTACTCCTTGCTGACGCTTCTTAAATAGCGCCGCCGCAGTTATCATGCGAGTCGGAAACCGTAGTTCTCTTTTCCGGAACTCTGGTTCTTGCACAGCCGCAGAAGGCACGTGGGAATGGTAGTTATGTTGTGCGAGTCTAAGAGACGCGTGAGGTGTATGCTGGGATATGTAGTCAGCACCAAGCTTAACACGCCTCTTTTAAGATGAAAGGGAAACTTTCTTCCTAGGGCCTCGAAGTGTGCTGGTGCTTTGGAGAACCCAGACGTCCGACCATGGAGTCTTTGTGCTGTGCTGCTCTAAATGACTTTGTTAACTCTTCTCCCGGTATGTCCTTGGCAGCGACCGCCCTTCTTCCTTTAGCCCTGCTTTGATAGTCGGGGCCCCGAAGTCCGGGCTGATGGACTCCTGGAACCCCGAGCCAGGCCGACAGTGTGACGTTCCTGACAGCGGCTGCGGATGGAAAGCTCTCGCTCGACCAGGTGAATGAGAGGGTTAAACCTACCGAGAAGGTTCGCAGCCTCTTCCTAGAGGGGCACAGGCTTGTGGACCTTTCCGTTTCCGGTGCTGGACCCCTATATCTTACCCTTGCTCTGGGTTTGCTTGTGAGCAGAGTAACTGACGTCTAGGAAACGGGCACTCTTCACTCGCGATGGAATTGACGGCGCCTTATGTGGCTAGGGATAATCCGGACGTGGTGGAGCTTCAGGGGAATAGAACATCAGGCTACCGGGGAGCCCTCCGGTTGCCCCTGCGTTGCGAAATTGTGCAGCCTGAACAGCCCTTTCTGGTGTGGCCAGAGCAGCCAGCCGCTCAGGAAATGCTGCTAGGCCTGCAGTACTTATATAGGTCAAGCTCTGCCGCTGGGGAGGAAGAAGCTTCTGCCAAGACCAAATGGCCCTACAATCTCAGAAATCCTCCAATGCCAAAATTGTGGCATTTGAAGGCAAAATTCATCATCAAAGCAGTTACAGAGTGACAAATATGGTAAAAGCTTCCGATGTGACTCAGATCGGCTTAAGCAACCCTTTTGTATGGCACGGAGGAAGGTTGCCCACACAAATCTCTTTCTGCTAGTAAAACAGTGTGTACTGGAGCCAGGAGGTAGGCTTCTCAAAGCACTCCGGTACTCTGTGCTCAAGCAGAGAGTCCATTTTCTTCTCATAGCTACTTGTGTTCCTGGACTAGGCACAAAATAGCCCTTTTGAGGTTGAGAAGGGTTATCTGTCTCGAGGACCTAATGCCTACTCCTATAGGATAGTCCTTATATCATCCCCAGGCCTCTGGTCCCCTACCCCCAAATTTTGGCACCTTTAATCAGGCTTGCAGCATCTAGTTCTGTGCCCACAAAGAAGAGGCTGGAGGGAAGGAATATGAAGTGATCCACCCTCAGCTTCTAGCACAGAGGGCCCAGGTTTGCCTCTTCCCTGCTGTGTGATCTGTACCTCTTCTGGGCCTCGGTTTTTGTTTTTGTTTTGTTTTGTTTTGTTTTGTTTTTTCCCCTTAATCTGTAAAATGGATGATGAGGGCTACCTCACAAGGTTGTAGTGAAGATTCCATGGGTATACCTATCCCTAGTGCATACCTAATAGGCTCTCAATAAATAGTTGCTATGATCTGGTCCTGTTTATACTATTACTAGTAATCTTTGGGCCTCGGCTTCCTCAGGATTGCATTGAGCAAGTGTCAAGTATTATAAATGTACCTACATACAAATATTGTGTATGTGGTACAGGGGAGCATGGAAACAGGATTTGTTTACAAAATCCCTTTCAGAGAACTGAAAGCTAATCTCTCACATTAGGGTAAATATCCCTGGGCCCCCTCTCCTCTCCAGTGGCAGAAAACAGGTCCTGACCAGAAAAGGAAACAGACCTCAGAAGCAGGAGGTACAGCTTGATCCAACAGCATTTATCCAGCATTTACTGTTCTCTGAGCTGGGAGTAGGACCATGTGACTGGTCCTTAGACCACAGATGGCAAATACATCTGTTTGGTCCCTCACTGTGTGTGTGTGTTATTTAAATAACATTTAAATCAGGAGACTTCACAATCTATATTTCTGCGGGAGGGGATTGTTTCTTTGTGTGTTTTTTTTCTTTTAAGTAAAAGATTCAGCAACATTTGATCATAACACATAATCTGTCGAGTTATGTCTATTCCACACAGTCCCAACCACTCCTTATATCCCTGACTCAACATATTTCCTTTGTGTTACTCATCTGACCTCTACAGAAGACATTTGGGGTTACAGTCCCCAAACACTATCATGGGTGAGAAAGATCTTCTATCACTTCTTGCTCCCTGTCCTCCTATTTCCTTTCCCCTTCCCCTCACCGCCCCCTCCCCCAGTGACAGACTTGAACCTGTCTGTCTTCCTGCTCCCCATCCATAGTTGTCCCCTAAATTGAGCCCTGTATGGTGATTTCAGTCTATTATTAAAGCTCCTTTCCCAATTTAAAAGATGGCAGAGCAGACTCATGTGCTTTGGTCAGAGGTCAGAGTACTGGGCCCTGTAGGCCTCAAGGAGATGTACCTGCCACATCCCAGACCGTCCTCACTGATCCACCATGCGGCCTGCGCAATGGTTTCATTAATGAGGTTCTTGGCATAAAGTTAGCTAGAAGAGATCGAAATAAAACACACAGACTCAGTTACCTTATTCTATTGCCATGTCCGAGACGGCTCCCCTCTCTGGCTCCAACCTCTAACCGCCCAGCAGGGCAGCAAGGATTACTCAGGACTAGCAGGAGAGAGAGAGAGCGAACACGCCAGGGAGTAGCCTTTTATTGGGGAACAAGAAATTCAGGGGATAATTCCATCCAATGAAGGTTGAGGGGGGACTGCACTCCAAGGTCAGGGTCAGTGATTGGGCCCCCGGGGTCAGTGGTCAGTCACACCCCCACACGGACGGGTTCTCTCATCAGGAAAGGGCCGGGAAAGTTCCGACACAGCCAGAACGCCTCAGACCCTTAACGGGAGCCGCCCAGTCACGTGTCAGGATGGCTTCCCACATATTCCCCCTTTCTATTCTTAAAAATGAGGGGGCGGTTCACTCTTTGGAGTTTCTGTATTCTTGTTCCGAAGACTGGCCATCCTATAATTACAACACAATAGAGAATTAACAGCAAAGAGAATAATCCAATAATGTACCAGGCCGAGTGTTTAAGAATATTTCCAGGGTTGAATCCATTCAACTCCTTTAATATTTGGTTTGCCAGAGAAGAAGGATCTGAAAATTCAGCTCTATTATTTTGAATGTCTTGGATATGGTGATGAAGTTCCAGAATATCCAAGCTATTATTACTATTTTGCCAAATACCTAACAAATGGTTTTTAACCTTCTCCCAATCCCAGAGAGAAGCATTGTGCTTGGCAGCTGTAACACAAACATACTTATAATTGGCATGGCATTTAAGCCTTTCCTTAAATTTTAAGGCTGAAAGTTCATTACCTATGTCTATAACAGTCGCCTCTAAGGCGTTTAATTTAGTCTCAATCCTTTCATCGATATTTACTTGATTACGCAGAGCCTTGGAAGTATTTTGAGCTAAATTATTAAGAAATTTTGCATGCTGAATATTCTGAGACAATGTCAGAGACGCAGAGACAGTTGAGGCAATAAAGGAGACTAGCGCCAAAACACCAACAATTATAACTCCAATAGCACGTTTAGGTCTTGCTAACTGGGCATGAATTTGCTGCAAGACTTGTAAACCAGTATCAGCATACCATGGCTCTGAAATATTAGCAGGTAATAAAACGAAAGAGGGCTGATGAAGTATCAGCACTCCTTTTCCTCCATTATACCTAGTAATACAATTGGTTAGGTTGCATTTATTACAAGTAGCAATATATCTGTCATCTATCCATTTAACTTTTACATTTCCAATAATTAAAACATAAGGAGATTGGACACAGGCTCGTAAGCCATAGCAAGATCCCTCTTTACAGTTCTTGCCAACAAATTTTGGTAAAGGTTTGTCTGTAAAATGTAAGAATTCTGAGGCAGCAACTAAACGCCAAATATCTTTCTGAACACCTCCTTTACTATAAGTCAAAATATTACTAACAAATCCTGCAGGAGTCATAGCAGAATTTCTTCGTAATTGTCTTTTATCAATTTTTGGAGACCAGTCTAAAATATACCCACTATCTTTAGACACCTTATGTTGTACAGGAAAGGTATTTACACAATCCATCCATCTAGGAAAGGTGCCAATCTCAATTGTAGAACTATTTGGACAGTGGGGTATCCGTGGAGGTTTTGCAGAAATGACTGGCTTGTTATGGGAAAGTCCCATCTTAATTACTGATCTAGTATAAGGTCTTAAGTCTCCATAAATAGAATTATTTGTCAGTCTAGGTCTACCAATCGCTGTCTTTTCTTCGAATGATACTTTCAGACAGCCAGCATGTTTATCGTGTGCCCAACACAAAGGTAATTGGGCACTGTAGCCAGAATAATTAAATCTAGTCACATGATTGGGAGTAATATGAGTATCTGTAAATCCTCCCATCATGAATGAGTCATTAGTAAATACTGGAATAGATTCTCCAGTCCACACAGCTGGGTGTACCAGGGGTGGATCTGGGAAATATGTCCAGTAAGTGTCTACTTGATCCCCCTTTACCTGACAGCCCAACAGGGCAATTACTGTTGCTACCATCATCACTGGGGTCCTGTTCTCTCCTAGGTGTCGAAGTATTCGGGAAGCCTGGGTTGTTAGCTTCTTCACGTCTTCCCATGAAATCAGCTTTTCGGCTGGGTCAATCTGGTCTTTCTTCATCCTTTTCCGATATCTCCTCCTTCTGGATAGGGGCTCCTATTTTGGGGAGTCACAAACCTATTCCCCCCCCCCCTTTAATTTTTGTAATTGAAGCTTAATAGATAAATGAGCTCGTTCCACAATGGCTTGGCCTTGAGGGTTATAAGGAATTCCTGTTTTATGATTAATTTTAAACTCTTGGCAAAATTGTTGAAAAGAAGAGCTTACATAAGCTGGAGCATCATCTGTTTTAATCTGCATAGGGCACCCTAAAACAGAAAAAGCTGCTAAGCAATGAGAAATTACATGTTGAGTATTTTCCTTAGTACGTGCTGTGGCAAAAATAAATCTAGAATAAGTGTCCACTATGACATGCACATAACATTGTTTACCAAATTGAGGAATATGAGTTACATCCATTTGCCATATTTGATTTGGTTTTAATCCACGGGGATTTACCCCTGATGGCAGAGATGGAGTGTGAATAACACACTTAGGGCATTGGCTTACAATCTGACGAGCTTGTTCTCTAGTAATATTAAATTTTTTACGTAAGCTAGAAGCATTTTGATGATGCAAGGAATGGGAAGCTAGTGCACAGTCATATGAAGACATCTGTTGACAAAAAGTTACTAATTTATCAATCTTGTTATTACCTGAAACTAAGGGTCCTGGAAGATTAGTATGAGCCCGTATGTGCCCTATTAAACATGGGTACTTTCGCATTAGCACTGTCTTTTGTAAATTATGAAATAACTCAAATAACTCTTGTGATGAAGTATACCCAATAACTGAAGTTTCAATATTTTTAGTAACTCCGACTGCATATAAGCTGTCAGAATAAATATTAATAGGCTCATTAGAAAAGTAATTTAAGGCCCAAATCAGAGCTTGAAGCTCTGCTCTTTGGGCAGAAGTATAAGAAGTTTGTATTACCTCTGTGTGAACATGACTATAAAAACCTGCTTTACCTGAGTTAGAACCATCCGTGAACACTGATAAAGCTTCATCTATAGGATGTGCACGTACAATCTTTGGAAAAATAAGTGACGTTAATGATGCAAATTGTATAATCTTATCACGAGGATAATGGCTATCTGGGCGCCAATTCCACCATGCGGCCTGCGCAATGGTTTCATTAATGAGGTTCTTGGCATAAAGTTAGCTAGAAGAGATCGAAATAAAACACACAGACTCAGTTACCTTATTCTATTGCCAGGTCCGAGACGGCTCCCCTCTCTGGCTCCAACCTCTAACCGCCCAGCAGGGCAGCAAGGATTACTCAGGGCTAGCAGGAGAGAGAGAGAGCGCGAACACGCCAGGGAGTAGCCTTTTATTGGGGAACAAGAAATTCAGGGGATAATTCCATCCAATGAAGGTTGAGGGGGGACTGCACTCCAAGGTCAGGGTCAGTGATTGGGCCCCCGGGGTCAGTGGTCAGTCACACCCCCACACGGACAAAGTTCTCTCATCAGGAAAGGGCCGGGAAAGTTCCGACACAGCCAGAACGCCTCAGACCCTTAACGGGAGCCGCCCAGTCACGTGTCAGGATGGCTTCCCACAACTGAGTTATTTTGGGAATCAACAAGCAAACAAGTGTGGAAGCACTCTTAAATGCTAAGGCCTGAGTGGAGTGGGAAGGGTTGGGAGTGAGTAACATTGTCTTCCTAGGATGGCTGGTCATCTGTCTAGTTCTGGACATAAGAATGATTGTGGTACAGTTATAATTCTGTTGATCTCATAAAGATCTGGAATCTAGGTTCCCCCATGTGAGTCTAGTGGATCATGCAAAAGCTGGTGCTGTGGGGTTGCATGTGGCCATGGTCTGACAACAGGAGTCCTACTTATCACTAAGCTGAACTGGTAAGGCAGGTACTTTTGGAGTACTAGCGAGTGTTATTGTGATGTTATAGGATGCTGGAGCAGTGCCCCCTTACCCCAGGACAACGCCCTTCTCAGGACTTGGCCATAAACATACTCCAGGAGCATAGGGACTGTGTATACATTGTATCTGCTAAGTCCCAGCATCCATATGGGCAGGCACAGAGAGTCCTGAGAAAGGCCTAATTGCTGCCTAGCAGCTTCTCTTCCCTGGGATGTGAGTCTGATGAAGAAAAAGTT